GCGGGTTTTCTTATCGCGCCTGCAGGCTGAGTATTTGAGGGGTGGAAAGTAAGGAGGAAGGAAGGAAAGAAAAGAAGGAAGGATTCTGATGGTGGCTAATGACAGAAGGGTATAGGCGACGGTTGAATCTACCTTATTGTACGATCACAGTGGTCACAGAAACTATTCAGACGAGCTAGCTATAGCTAGCTAGGGGGCGTAGGAAAGAGCAGAAAATTTCCGCATTCAAAGAATTTGAGCTCTAGTTTGTAGGTCCAAACTTTTGCAACAGCGCATAATTCTGTAGAGCTATCCTGTCTTTCAGTGGTTTACAAATACTGAATTTTATAATGTGTTTCCCCAAAATTTAATGTAGAATCAGGTTCAATTTTGAATTTCTCTCAATTCTTCTGAATGACTTGAATAAGGCTCCCACCTGTTCCAATCGTACAGAAAACCTCTGAGTCCTGCTTCTATAGTTGCTCTCAAGAGTATTGGGGAAGCATCCTTCGTCACACTCAGCGATCGTCACGCGGAACTTCAAGCCGCAGTAAAGTTTGGAACGCTGGCTTTACAAAGTCCGTGCGATAAGCGGTTTTCAACGCTGCTATACCTTTTTTCGTTATCCATGCCAGCTGAGGAATAGTAAAGTGGGACAAGCAATTAATTGTAAGTTACAGGTTGATTTTCCAAATTCCTTTCTTCAGTTGTTCCACTGCTGTGTTCCACTGCTGAACACTAGGCGCCACATATTTCAATAGCACGATGGAGACAAATTGCAAAAAGCCCTCTCTCTCTTTCTATGCGCCCTTTTCGTGCCATTCGGTGAATCGTCAATGTGTTCTTCGTTCTCAAACAACTCAAGCGAGTAATGGCTTTTCGGCGCCAGTCGGACACATTTTGTGAAAGAAAGCAAATTGAAAAGGATTAGGTGGTAGTTACGTTGAGCAAACGTACTCGTCACCATTATTCCAGCTCTTTTTGCTAAAATAAGTGTAACAGTCTCGGCGCGGATCATTGCTCAGAACTGGGCTGGTTTTCGCCGCCGGGAAGAAAAAGCGAGCACTTTCAGACGGCGCCATTTGCGTGCCGGCTCAGTGGCGTCAGCAGTATTTTCTGCTGTGTATTGTGTATCTCAAGCAAAAAAGAACTATGAGAAGTAGACTACGAAACATGGGGTCAGGCATAGATGTGCTGTGGCTTTTACCAGGGAAGTCCGCCAACTTACCATGGAATTGGATGGAGGCCTGGGTAGATCGATAGAGTCTATAAGGTTATTTACAAATATAGATAGCAAAACTGCAACCTGCATTTCACAAGCAACTTATGAGCAGGTAAAGTTTGTAATGTGCAGTAGGGTGGAGGCTTGGTGGTGAGCTGTGAAGCATAAGCGAGGAATCGCATACGTCGAATCGAGTCGTCGAACGTCGAACCTTACCACTGAACCACCACGACTCGATTCGACGTATGCGATTCCTCGCTTATGCTTCACAGCTCACCACCAAGCCTCCACCCTACTGCACCATTACAAACTTTACCTGCTCATAAGTTGCTTGTGAAATGCAGGTTGCAGTTTTGCTATCTATATTTGTAAATAACCTTATAGACTCTATCGATCTACCCAGGTCTCCATTCAAAGTTCCATGGTAAGTTGGGGACTTCCCTGGTTAAGGGACGTTTGTTTTCGAATACTGTGGGAAGCTGGGTGTGCATTGGGAGTGCGGTACACTTTTTCTAGAAGTGGCCAACGTTACTAACAAGGAACACTGCTTCTCAAGTAGGCTTCGTTTCGCACCATGGCTGCAAATTTTGCACGCAGCTCTAATCAATGCAGTTGCTGTGAGGCAAGAATGGGAGGATTTTTCCTTGAGGGAACTTGCTTTTGTGAGTGGTGGCGAATGCCGGTTTCACTGTAATAGCTTGTCATGACGGAAAAAAGATCTTGTAAGTAGGACACCAAATTTCTTCAGAAGTCAGCCGGTTGAGTGCGAAGAAGTTGGAGGGTCGGGCTGAATCATTCCGGGCCCATGTATGGCTGCATAGTTAGCGGTAAGAGCGCTTGAATGCAAAGTTGGAATGATATTGAGTCATAGGGCACCTCAATATTTTTAAGTTGGCCAATTTTTTGGCGATTCAATTATTTTTCTCGAATCCAGTACACTGTAAAAAAGTACACCCCAGAGGTTCGTCTGGAGGGAGAGCGTGATTCCACAGTGATGACCTTGAAGTCTCAAGGCGCTGTTAGATAAACGTTCCCTCGCGCACAAAACATACAGTTCGACTAGCATCTACCGCTTTCTTCTTGTGAAAGTGCGTGGAAAGAGCGCTAGGAGTCTGTGGTATAGCGAGCTCTCCACCCCATGCACCGGGCCCCGCCCACTTCACGATAGCGATTCGCTTCGACATTATAGATTAGGATATGATTCGGTGGCATTCGCGGTCATTATTCATTAATTGGTAGAGTAAACGATATTTGATGCAGTTTAAGGTTATGGGGAGGGGTTATAAAAGCGGAAGCTCACTTTTAGTTCCCATACCGCAAAAGCCCCAGAGAAAAGAACTCAAGGGTGAAAGTGGGATGATAGGGTAGAAGAGCCGATATCGTAACGTAATCCTAACGCTTCCTGCTTCATTTCAGCGCCATTACGCCCATTTCGCCTTCACATACTGTGCCGTTAGAATTATTATAAATGTACTGAAGAGGTCTTTCTTTTGATCGCTCGACTAAACTTTTGTCCGACCTGCCTCTTGCCCCTTCCTGAAACTCGGTTGGGTTAACTAATTTCCAGGCGGATTTTCAAATGTTCCGTTCTTTGTTACCTTTTTTGTTAGCTACACTTTCCTAGACGACTCGTGCTATGTCTGGGACAGCAATTTTTCTTCTTCCGATCGCAACGAACAATTTCCCTACAAGTCACGTGT